TTTATAGCCCAATTTGCATGAAGAGATTAATTAAAAGATATGGTCATTTGGGATCATTATTATTTCTTTCTTAAGTTTCTATTAATCTAAGTATATTAATTTATAGGAAGATTTACATAAATACCACTGAATTTTGACATTTTACATATCTAAAATCTAAATACATCGATTTGATAGTTCAAAAGAACCAAATGATAGGTAAATTCGTAAATATCAATATTTCACATGAATTGTAAGTAATTATCCCTTGATTTTTTTTATTTAATTTTGATGAACAAATATTATATGATTAAAAAGGCATATTAGTGACTTATTATTTTGTTTAATTATTTTAAAATATTTAAATATTTATTAAAAATTTATTGCACTTAATTATTCATAATAATTATTTTCCAAGCATTATGAAGCGATTATGGGACCCACCTCGTTCCACTTCTGGCCAGCTGTTCGCAGACCCTCTCCATGTGCAACTACGTGCGTAGTTCTTACTTGTGGGCCCGGTCTCCTCGGACAAAATTCCCCTAATAATTTAAAACTATTTTTGGGGCATTTGCATAAATACCACACATTTTTTATGCATTTACATATTCAACAATTAAATTTAACTTTTAACCTTTTTATAGAGTAAAGCCTTGAAATAGTCCTGAATCATTTACATGTGGTCTTTTAATTTAGAGTGCGTTTGAGACGGTTTGTAAGTTTCAGAATAAGCAGCTTTTCCTGCAATGCGGCCCGCGAGTCGTCCCGTGACCTGCCTTTAGTGTAAAAATGGAACCGCGTTTTCGGATAAACATGCAAAACACGCGATTTAAACGGTACTACAGTATTTTCAAAAAAGCCCTACACTTATAAGCTGTCCCAAATATGCCCTTAGTCTTATAGTTTATAGAAGTGTATTCCTAAGACTCTTTAAATTAGGGTTGAAGTAATCCTCATGAAAGATTATTATAGCTCAATATTAAAATAGTCGGGAGATTAAAATATTGTTATTTTAATTAGAGGTGCTAAAAAGTGAAAAGGAAAGACATATATTTAAAAATTAAAAAATTAAATGTAAATAGAGTCTAAGGTGACTTGTATAAATTGTAAAATGTCCGATGAGAAATTGGCCACAAAATTTAATATATACATCAAAGTTCTTATGGGTGTAATTGCAATTTTGATTGAGCATTTATATTATACTTATTCATAAAAAATTCATTACAAATCTTGTTGTCAATGAGAAATGGTAAAAAAAAATATTAAATATATGATCAAAATTATGATATATGTAAATATAGTGCAGCCAAAACGGCTCGTTGTTCGCGAACAACTCGTGTTCGGCTCGTTAAGTTGTCCTGCTTTTCGGCCCTACACCTAGCCGATGTGGGACTATTTGTCCATAACACTAAGGTGACTTGTATAAATTGAAAAATATCCGATGAGATATTGGCCACAAAATTTAATATATACATCAAAGTTCTTATGGGTGTAATTGCAATTTTGATTGAGCATTTATATTATACTTATTCATAAAAAATTCATTACAAATCTTGTTGTCAATGAGAAATGGTAAAAAAAAATATTAAATATATGATCAAAATTATGATATATGTAAATATAGTGCAGCCAAAACGGCTCGTTGTTCGCGAACAACTCGTGTTCGGCTCGTTAAGTTGCTCGTGTTCTGCTCGTTCGCTAAATTAAATATTTATTCGTTCGTGTTCGGCTCGTTTTGGCTTGAAATACTACTAATCAATTATATATATATTTGATGAGTATTATTTTTAAAAAATTTAATTGACTACAAGGCTATAAAGATTTATAATCAATTAAAAGTATTAATGAAGAAAATAGAATAAAAATTATTATTTTAGATTCAAATGATGTTTAAAATCTTGCCCAAATTCTTAACATCTTATGACAACATGATTAGGGTTGTCATAACGACTTTTTTTTTCTTGAACAGCTCGTGTTCGACTCCCCAAGCAAACGAGTCGAAGAGCTCAAAATATAAACGAGCCGAACACGAGCTGACCCTCGACTGTCAAAACGATATATTTATACTAAATTTGATTAGCTCGCCGAACACAAACACATTTTTTGAGCTCACCCCGAACCCAACCCCTTTTTTGGAGCTCAAAATATAAACGAGCCGAACACGAGCTGACCCTCGACTGTCAAAACGATATATTTATACTAAATTTGATTAGCGAACCGAACACGAACACATTTTTTGAGCTCAAAATATAAACGAGCCGGACACGAGCTGACATTCGGCTGTCAAAACGATATATTTATACTAAATTTAAATTTTCCTAAGGTAAAAATTGTTAGAATCTGCATGTGGCGATAGCGTGTGGACTTTCAAGCCACATGCTTATGGGTGTCTCGCCGCAGGCTTCACATGCATTAATTATTTCCAAATTTCTTGCGCAAAGGGTAGAAGTATTAATTATTTAAAAAATAGGGGCATTTAGATAAATATCATATAATTTTTATGTATTTATGTATCAACCGCCTATATTTTTATATTCGTATTTATATCACACAATTTCTTAACAGCACATAAATATATCATTTTTTACTAATTTCTTTAAAGTCAAATTCATGTTTTTTTTATGTATTTATGATATCAAAATATTGTAAATGTAAATATGAAAATTTAAGTCTTATATTTATGTAAATATATAAAAATTGTGTGGTATGCGCGTAAATTTTCCTAAAAAAATAAAATGGAAGGATAATTATATATTTTAATTTTGTCAAGTGAAGAACTCTCTCAAGAATCATGATTTAAAAAATAGCTTTTTAATCCAAATTGGTGGAAATATTTAATAGCACATTTAATAACCATTTTTTAAATTTATATTTTGATATATATATATATATATA